CATCCTCATCTCTGAAAGAGTGACCGCTGGCCTGTAAATGAGTGAAAACTGCAGAGTTCTGGCCATGAGACAGACGAGCTATATCTAATGGCCAGAACTCTGCAGTTAAAAAATTGCTTAACATTTTGCTATCTGAGGTTTTTGCACCAATGATTGTCTGGTTTTTGATTTGTTATTTAATCTTTTAACTTTTTCTAAACATTTTGTCTTAATTCTTTCAACATTTCAGCTTTTCTCCAGATAAAAATGCTGTGACTTAATTCCCATTATTTTGACTTCCCCCTCGGTTTAAGTTTCTGTAAATTTGAATTATTATAAGTGAAAATAAAAGAGAAAACTTGGTTTATTCTTAAGCCACTTCATGTACTCTATAACTGTTTAATGCAAATAATGATCTAACAGAATATTTAGTTTTGACTATTTTTGTATATGCCATGTTTCATAACCATGAACTTTAAGTATTCACCTCGTTATTTTCATGTATTTTGCTGTTGGTTCAGTTTCTGTCATGTTTTTTGTGTTTCTCTCAGAGATTAGCAGAGGCTGCAGAAGATGCTGACCTGTACCATGAATACAATGCTTCCATGGAGGTCAGTGATTTTCCCCCACCCTCCAACTTCAGGGGTCTCATTTATCAATGTGCGCACAAAAAGGCTGTGTGCCAGGTGCCAGGCACACGTCAGGATGAGTCAAAATGAACGTTGTGTGAAAGTGTGCATTGAAATAAAAACAAACTTCCTCACCAGTCTGGAGAATCTGCTCACTTAATGTTATGAAACTAAAAAGTACAGAAACTCACCTAAAACATGGAAATATGATTAAAGTTTCTGAGCTTAAGCACAATTTTCACAAAGTTTTCTCATGAGTTTGACTTCACATAACAATGTATAACACACTTCCTCAGTCTAATGGAAACTGTAAAGTTTCCTCTCTGTGTCATGTGTAGATGTAAAAGAAAACTCAATGACTGCATGTGCACAAAGAGATGAGGAGCAACAAATGAATGTGAATTGTTTAAGAGCCTTTTCTCATTGAAAAGAAAACCGTATTGGATCAACACATGCAGTCAGTACAAGCCATATGTGATGATTCCTAAAATGGACAAGGTGCAAACAAGGACACCTGACCATGAACAACTGCGTAAAGAGGAAACAACTGCGGTGCTGCTGGTTGTTTTCTGTAATACAGTAGATTGACTACAGAACATAAACTAATTCTGCCACATTGTGCACGCCGAGCATCAGAGCTTCCTCCTGCTTCTCTGCTGCAGCTGCCTAAAAGTCCAAAAATATGAATATACAGCTCTGGGTAAAAAATGAGATCACTTTAAAATCATCAGTTTCTATGATTTTACTCTTTATAGGTATAGGGCTGCCACAAACGATTATTTTTATAATCGATTAATCACCGATTATTTTTTCGATTAGTCGACTAATCGGATCATACGTT